TCGACGAGACCGACGAGAGAGAGCGAGGAGGAGATGGAGACGACTAAGCTACATCACGGTCGAGGGAGAAGAGGGGTGTAGAAGGCCGTGTTGGTGCCTGCGTGCCACCACCACTGTTGCCACAAACCACCGGAGGGCGGGAAGAAGAGAGGAGATCGGGTGAGTGAGTGGCTAGGGTTTCAAGAAGAGAGGAGAGCGGAGCGGGGCGGGGAGCGGGATCGGAAGCGGCCGAGCGGGGAGAGAATGAGCACAGATGCTCGCCGCTCAATTGAGGGCAGAGCGGCGTGGCTTATATTGCCACTCGTCCCAACCCTACATTCAACGGCTAGGAATCGCCGGGGTCTCCATCCAACGGCTCCAAGCCGTGCCGACCCTTCTTGCGGCCATGTGCCGTCTTGCGTGCTGCGCTAACATGGCATCGCGCCCGAGCATCGGAGACGGGCCGTGCTGCTTGCTTGGCACGGGGAGGCGGGCCGTTTTCGTACCGGGCCAAATCAGCATCGTGCCCGTGCTGGCCCGATGGGCCTGGCCCGTTTGGAAATCTTTAATCCCGCGGCCAGCCTGCCGGCCGATAACGACGCTTCTTCTCCCGACGCCGTCTTCTTCCTCTTCTCCGGCGCTTCTTTCCCCACCGGTAGTGGCCGAGCTCGCGCTCCACATCTTCCCCTAGCGAGATTTGGCGCGGGCTTGCTCGCGGGCTCAAGGCGGTCGGAGCAGGGGCGGCGGCCATGGCGGCCGGGGGAGGGGCGTGCAGGTGGAGTTGCTGTTGGGCGCGACCGGGGCAGGGGTTTATGGTCGGAGCCGCGCGGGGCCGGCCAAACAAGCTGCGCCGGGGCTGGGCGCGGCCGGCAGAGCTACGCAGGGGCAGGGGTGAGGGGCCTGTCGGAGCTAGAGCGAGTAGCTAGGGAAGATGTGGAGCGGGAGGCGTCGTGGGGCGTGGTGCCATGGCTCGCTCGATGACGGCGCTGGGTGCTGGAGGCTTGCGGCCATGGCGGTACAGGCGCCAAACTGTCGGGAGTTGCCTCTGCTCGGGCAACGGCGGCGTGGCGAGGGCGCGCTGGCCGCGAGCTGGCACACGGCGTAGGAGCATGCTGCAGGCGGTCGTTGTGGTCAACTGGTCATCGGGTGGGTCGCCGTCGTCATCGCGTGGGTTGCCGAAGTCTGCTCGCATCACAGCTTGGAGCAGAGCAGAGCTCATCCCGCCGGTCGCCCGCGCAGCTCTGGTGAATGGTATGCAGCACAGCAGCCGGGGAGATATAGAAAGCGACGCGACGCTCCACTGGATCGAGGAAACCGTGCGGCTAGCTGGATTGGACTCCCTCGATTTTGTACCACCCACACCTGCCTCGTGCCAAGACCCTCATGTTTAGCTTTGTCCGCGCCGCGTCGAGCAGAGAAGGCCGCTGACCTCCGTCCGCACCACGCCGAGTACAGGAGGCCAGGCGCACGAAGAAAGCCGCGGAGCTCCGTCCGCGGGAGGACACCGAAGCCGCCGCACGGGCCGCTGGCGCTGCCGGTCAGACCCGCTGCATGAAGCCGCTAGAGCAAGGCTCCAGTGAGCAGGACGAAGGAGACCGATTGGGGACGAAACAAGGACGTTTCATTTTTTTATTGATCATATCTAGAATTGCATTCTTTTCAGGCAACGAGAGACTGTAGAGTAACCTGAATGCACCGCTCGATCGATAGTCACGACCACATACAGGCCAGCAAGTACATAACATAATAAGGGGACAGGAGAGGATATGCAGGAGGTAGTGTTCATCAATCTTCATGCGTGCCGCGGCTGCTCTCTTAACACGGGCGAAAGTACACTGGAAGGGCTCAACAGCCTCGATCGATCGATCTCACGCACGCACGCATGTTTCTCATATTTGCCAAATGCACGCATGGAAACATTGGATATATAAGTTCGGTTTCGGTGCATGCATGCATGTTTTATGTACTTGCGCGGCGCAGAGAATCCGGGCGCCGGCCCTGGTTTCCTTCTCACGTATACGGAAGAATTTGCGGTGCCTATACGTGAGGACCAAGCAACATGCCATCATATATCTACCTACCGTGTATGGATCCTAGCTACCTTTCTTGATTGCTAGTGTGTTTCTTACCTTCGTTCTACACACACTGGCTAGATGGTGCGTACTTGTCCCGGCCCAAACAACGTACGTAATAAAAGAGCGAGGAGAAAAAGTAGTGTTTGCAGCTCTCGATCGCCGTCTTGGGATCGAAACCACCGTGATTGTGGATCGAACAGTAGTTGCGTTTGCATGCGCGATGTGGATGTGATGGTACGCTGTTGTGTACTACCGTCCGGGCTGGACCGGGATCAGTGGAGAGATCACTGCGAGCGAGACTAGGTAGACGTACAGTGTTGTACGGTGGTGTGTGATCGCGGGTAGCTTTTAACAGGGACAAGCTATCTATCTAGCAGCTAATAGCTTCCTTCTTTTCTCGCCCTCAGCTCTCTTTCCTTGACCAACCCCTTTGTTTTGTTGTTTGTTCCCTCTCCGATCCCTGTCGTCGCAGTCTCCCTCTCTTTATTTCTCTGCCTTCTTCGCCATCGTCGTCGTCTTCTTTTAACCCTGCAGCACACTCCTCCTCTCCGGCCGATCGAGCCGGACGCTCTTGTTAGCTTTGTTTGCCTGCTGTCCTCATGGAGATGTCGTTCTAGAGTTATTGGTAGTCGTCGCGCGTGCGCGCTGCGTTGTTGTCGATCGAGAAGGAAGCAGCTAAAGGGTTGGTTGTTATGACGTGGTGCAATGGTTTCAACGACGTGCGCGCCGCCGTGGAGAGCAGCCTGTCCCCGGCCGCCGCCGCCGTGGGCAAGAAGGCGGCGGCGTCGCTCGCCGTCCTCGTCAAGATGTGCCCCTCGTGCGGCCACCGCGCGCAGTATGAGCAGGTACGTGTACACGCGTGCGCGTGTCCAAGTAGAAGTTGTGCATGCGAGTATGCGACGACTCTTATTGTAACTGTGCGTCGGTGATCTGAATGCATGCATGCATCACTCTTCCATGTCATACATGTTGCTTGCTGATGAAAGTCGTCTCGATCGATGAACAAATAATATAATGTGTGGTCGTCAGGAGAGCACGACGATCCAGGACTTGCCGGGGCTGCCGGCCGGCGTGAAGTTCGACCCGACGGACCAGGAGCTGCTGGAGCACTTGGAGGGGAAGGCGAGGCCGGACACCCGGAAGCTCCACCCCCTCGTCGACGAGTTCATCCCCACCATCGACGGCGAGAACGGCATCTGCTACACGCACCCGGAGAGGCTCCCCGGTACGTACGTACCGCATGTTTTGTTTTAATTTGGATCTGCATGCATATGCATGATGATCGATCGATCGATGTGCTGCCTGAGATTGCAATAATCACTGATCACTCGAGCGACCTACTCTTTATATCATTAATTTCAGGTGTGAGCAAGGACGGACTTGTCCGGCACTTCTTCCACCGGCCGTCCAGGGCGTACACCACGGGGACGAGGAAGCGACGGAAGGTGCACAGCGGCGACGGCGACGACGGCGGCGGCGGGGAGACGCGGTGGCACAAGACGGGCAAGACCAGGCCGGTGCTGTGGAACGGCAGGCCGCGCGGGTACAAGAAGATCCTGGTGCTCTACACCAACTACGGCAAGCAGCGCAAGCCCGAGAAGACCAACTGGGTGATGCACCAGTACCACCTCGGCTCGGACGAGGAGGAGCGCGACGGCGAGCTCGTCGTCTCCAAGGTCTTCTTCCAGACACAGCCCAGGCAGTGCGGCTCCACCATGGCCAAGGAGTACGCCGTCGTCGTCCCTGCCGCCGCCGCCGCCGTCACCGGCAGCAGCAACACACTTATTGCCGCCGGCCATAACCAGGGTGGTGGTGGTGGCGTCCTCAGGGAAGCAAACGGCGGTGCTGATCAGTTCTACAGCCCAGGAGCAATGATGGGGTATGGCCAGGGGGTCCTACCAAGTAACAGGGCACCTCCTGCCCCTGCTGCGGCTCCCCACTTCATGCCTAACTTTGCTGTGCATGCAGCAAGGGGTAGTTTTGGCCCTTGAATCATGTCAAGAATTCAGGACAAGAAATTTATACACACCTATCAAATTTATACCGGCTAAATAGGCATTTAGGAGCAGATCATCATGTCATCAGGGTAAAACCCCCAGGACCTGAAAACTACATCACAATTCACAAAGTTGTGCTAGGACTGTATAAAAATATCATGTTCTTGCCCTCTAACTTCATGTTCATTTACAAACTCCTCCCCTTTTAAGTTCATTCAAGGATTTGAGCAAGTCTTCAAGGGTATTTTGAGTACGAATTTTCTTTGTAATAGTTTATCAATTACTCCATTCGTTTAAAATTAATAGACGTATCCTCGTATGGCATTTGCATTTGACCAAAAATTCCTTTTTCAACACATGATTTATATAATATTATAGAATTAATGCCATTACATTCATATGAAAATAATTCAATACATACTAAATGACATAACTGCTGGTCAAAGCATTATCCAAACAGTGTGAAATCTTATAGAAAAGATGTGAAATGCAAACCTATAGCTAAGTTATATTAACTTCTCAAAAGAAAAAGAAAAAAACGCTTGTCTTAACATGCCCTACATTTTAAAATGGAGTATTAGCTTTTTTTGTTACTCGATTACTCAAACCACCCACATATACGAAAACGAAAAGGCTTATGCTGCTCCGGAGATTCAATCGGTTCATTCCTTCGGCTGGTTCAGTCACACCAGCCTTCTGTTCTCTACACCAGCACATACGAAAAGATAAGCATTTCAATCACGACTCATAACTGCAAACTGATACAAGTACATGCCGATGATGCATGCTAAAATAAACTGCACCATCGGAGAAACACACAAACCAGAGATTTAAACTAAGTTACATGCATTGTTTCGCTTCAATCTCAATCGTGTCAATTCAAGTTTCAACACTACAGGAAAGTCTAGAAAGCATAAAGAGTAAGCATACAAGTATTGCCGAGGAACTACTACTTGCCGACGACATGCTTTTCATACAAGGCGACAATATCCTTCTTGTTGGGATTTTTCAACAGGAGGAGTTGAGCACCAAACCCGTGCTTGGTGAGCTCCTGCTTCAGTTTCAGCACAGTGAATTTGGTATAGTCTTCGGTTTCTGTCCCCTGCTGACTCCCGTTGTGAGTATCTTCACCAATTAACACGGAACCACCGTCCTCTGTGTGATTGCTCTTGAAAGGGCTTGTTGTGCTTTTTGATCGTTTCCGACGCCTCCCGCTGTCCTCATCGATATCCATATCATGTACAGACTCTGTAGCTTCACCCCTTAAGCGCCTTGCAGAGGTCTTGAGTTTGCTATCAAGTGTGGTTTCTTGTTGGAGCATGTCCAGTTTGCCTTGAGTTGCTTGCAACATCAATGACAGGTCCTCTGCCCTCTTATTGGCTTCAGCGCATGCTTCACGTTCTGATGCCAGCAAACCCTCAAGCACTTGAACGGTGCTGGACCTTTGCTGGTTATTCCGCTTCAACATCTCATCAATTTCTTTTTCCCGCTCATCAACACTTCTTTCAAGCAATGCGACCTTGGACACAGCATCCTTCTCTGACTGATGAAGTCTTTCAATCTCTTCGACCATCTTAGCCTTGTCCCTTTCTAGAGCTTCAACCTGTCGCTCCATTCTTTCTATCAGTGCAAGCCTCTCCATTGCGAGACGTTGAGCTTCCCCCTTATCCTTTTGAGAAGTAGAAGCTTCTGCACGACCTACATCAGCCAATTCCGTTGCTCGTCTCGCTTCCCTTTCAGCTTCCTTGCATCTCATGTCTGTCTCATCAAACTTTTTGCACTGTGACAGATACTTCTCCTCAAGATGGTTCTTTTCCTGTTCCAGGATCCTGACTTCATTCTCACGTGACAGAGCTTCAATTCTAATAGACTCCAGGTTATCAGTCAATGATCTGATCTCCTCCTTCAAAGCCAACGAATCCGACTCGTGGCTCTTCAACTTTGCTTCAGTGGCCTGAATTTTATCATTGCAATATGAGATTATGTTGAGAGGTAGGGAGAGGGAGGAGATTGGAGAGAGACATACCTCAAGCCTCGAGATCAAACTTGTAGCATGAATTTCCGTTTGACTAAGTTTTGCATGTAATCTTGAAATTTCCTCTTCCTGTTTACACATAACAAGCACATACAAAGTGACCAAGAAGCACATAACAAGACTTGGAAGAAAAATAACATTGAATATACCATAATTTTCTTTTCCTGAGCATTGAGAGAAAGTGTGCGCCATAACATTGAGAGAAATGATTACCTTCTCAGATAGTTGGTTAGCAAGCTCTGCCCTCAAAGCATCTTCCCTCTCTTGCACTTTCTTATTTGTGCGTTCCTGTGCTACAGCCGCTCTCTGCAGAGCTGTTTTGGCCTCGCTAACAGCGACTTCATATTTGCGTTTCCACTCCGATGCTTCCTCTTGAGCAGAATCAGCCTGTTCACGTGTTGCCGACAATCTGCCCTCACTGATACTCACCCTAGACTCCAGAGAAGCAATTTGGGATTTTAACTTACTCTCATCCGCCTTTTGCTGCAAAATACCATGATCATATTTGCTCTTCCAATCATTGCATTCCCGTTTTGCAGTTTCAAGAGAAGAAGACAAGCTCAAGCACCGTTCTTCCAACTTGCTACTCTTGGTCTGAAGTTCAGTTATACGAATAGAGTAATCCTTCGAAATTTTCTGTTTATCATTCAGAAGTTCCTCATAGCGCCTCACGTACTCAGCTCTGTGACCCTCACTTGCTTCAAGCTGCTTCCTAAGCAATGCTAATTTATCATCGCTTGAATTGCATTTCAGTCTAAGGGCATTCCTTTCAGCATCTATATGCTCCAACTGTCTTCTGAAAAGGTCTAGAACGGGGCCAGCCAAACTGCAGTGATCATTCGAACAAAAGAATAAAATGATTATGTGAGATAATGAGATAATCATTCCACATCAACCAACAACAGGACAATTGAAGAGGTGAATACCACTGCTGTAAGAATGTGGCTATCCTTTTCCATTTTACAGGACCATAGGCCGTTGACTCATACTCTGTGAGCAGGCCATCAAGGAGCTGCAGTTGATCAAATAACAAGGACATTACCAAAAACAATAATGAAGGATAAGGTTCTTGACAATTAATTACAGCAGCAAAGAAGTTTACGTTGTCTTACTGTGACTACGTCATCTAACTTTGCATCTGGACGGTTACATACTGCTCGCAGCTTTGATTCCATTTTCTGTACTTTATTTGAACATTGCAAGTCAGCTTCCAGAAAAGCATTCCTTTTGTAGTCCTGCATTCATGTGCTTCAGAGTTAGCCTACCCACGAATAAAGATTATAATTGACAAATAATTTACTTCAGCAATTGGCAGGCATTAATCAATTGTTCACGTGGAAGAAAATAGTTAGCGGGCATGCCGACTCAAAAGCAGTTGATGGTAATAATAACGTCACCTCAAAGGCCTTTTTGAGAGAACTGTGAAGAAGCTTTTCGAATTTTGTACGAGCTGCCCCAGCACCAACAGCAGAAGCATTAAAAGCACTGATAGCCTTTCTCATAGCATCTTCATGTGCTTCTCTCAAAGAATCCTGCAAACAACAAGACAAAATAAATTCCAGAAAATTCCAATGAGAGCATCCAGCAACTCACTTATTAGCAACCCTACCTCTTCTATATGTTTTTTGTGGTCAAAAGAAGAATTGTAAGTGCCCACAGCAGAATCAAATGCCCTCTGACATTCTGCCTCCTCCACGCTCTGCATAATAAATAAATAAAAGAATCAGATAACTTCTATCCAGAGAGAAACCCAATATCTTAATAATGGTTTAACCGACATAAGCCACATTGCTGTAATTATAATCTTAATCTACCTGCCAAGATGAAGATATTGTAGGGACAGCACCGCTATTAATGGCATCAAGAAATGATTGTGTCAATCCAGCAAGGATGGGGCCTGTCATTGTACTAGCTCCAAGTTGTTTTGGTCTTGTTCGGTCAAGAACAAATTTCGTGAAAGCATCCAGACCAGATCTGAACTGTGGCCGGAAATTACTCAGCTGCAACATAGAAATTAGGAAAAATGCATCAAAATCAATCTATTAGAACAATATGATTACACCAGAACGTGGATTATGATTCTAACTCTTGAAGGGACAAAAATAATTTGTACATGCAGTCAAATTGTTTGAACTTTGGCTATTGGTATCTTATCCATGTGAATATTGAGATCGAACATACAACACAATAAGTATCGATTTGTTTCAAGGGCGCACTTTCATAGAGTTAAATTTACAGGTTTAACAAAAATATCACAATGCATATCAGTGATTGAAGTTGTGTTAAAGACTGCCTTCTTGCACTGGTACCATGTAGGTGTATATTATTACCATGACAAAAATGTGTAGTTACTGGAAAATGCACAGAATAATATAGTTTTACTATATATAACTTTGCTACATGTGAATGGAGAGCTTAGGAAAAGTTTGACTCTACCTACGACGTATGATATGTGTTGAGCATTTTAAGTACAAGGTCACCAATAACAGACATTCACTCTAGTCCAAAGAAGGGAAAAAAATACTTACAGGAAGTTGATCGAGACGTTGGAGATCTTTCTCATCGTTCACAGGTCGCACAAGTGTAAAGCATTCCCTATCTGGAAAAAGTGCACGGATGGACTCCCGTATCTTCCAGAACAACAAAAGAAGTATAAGGATAGTCCATATGTCAAGTTACCTAAGCAGAAGTACATAACTACATTTCACCTATAAAAGTCTACCATACCGCATTCTTTGCATATACGTTCCTTCCTCCACCTTGAACACTCAGTGCTAGTTCTAGGTAATCCCGTGGAGTAATTTTTCTGTTGTCTTCTGTCAAATCCAGGTAGAAGTCCTGTAGGAAAGGAAGCACAATGTCATCGCATACCAAAGGTGTCTGATGCATAACAGGGCCTGAGGTTATGTTTGACGAATTATAAGATGACACACAGCTAGGGAACAGTCAAAGCATTCAGCATTCAACAGACATAATTAATATCAGGATAAAAGGAATGAAATGTCTTACTCGCAACAACCAAACAAAGACAGGAGAGAACTGCCCAAGTTCAGATGCAGTGGACCTTCCACCTGAGGCCCTGACACGTATGTGCTTTGTCATCTCCGTGACAAGCGAGAGACGATCCAACGCAGCTTCATCTATACCTCCCATCTAGAAGAAGTAGCAGAAGGCTAAGAGGTTAGCGTCCTTCAATATGAAAAAATTACAACTGAAGCGCCTAAGTATCACCCTACAATTCCTTCCATGTTCCAAGATGACTATTTCATTCATTCCGAAATATGTACCTGGTTGTAGATGAACATGCTCGATAACAGAACAGCCAAGGAAAATATTTGGATGCTATAGGTCCCCTGCCAAAAGGGAAAGAGTACACATGAGACAACATTGCAGAAATTACAAATATACGTAGAATATTACACAAAAACAACCAAATAAAATCACCAGAAAAGTAAACGATAGTCAACACTCCTCATTGCTCTGACTCACCCAAAAGTGCGGCTCAGAAAAAAAAAGGGTGTAGATCCAATTACAAAATATCATAATTGTTAATTTCAATAAACACATATCATTGTCAATGTCTGAATGATAGGCCGTTAATTCATGGGTAAGCCGCTAATACATACCGTTTGGTCATAAGCATCAATTCCTTCAGTATCCAACAACACAAGACTGTATTCAGTTCCATCCAGACCAGTTCTCTTCAAAGGCGTACTCCACATCCACAGTCCCTTGGTGCAAGGACGATGTGTTGAAGCCACTTGAAAACCGCTGCTTCGCCCAAGAAGCTACATATAGAGGGCAGATTTTATCAAGTAATGCAGAGGATTAAACAAAAATAATGCACAATAAAAGAAAATCAACTTATATTAAAGCTGGGTATGGGGTATATAGTGACTCATAAGAGTGCCACCTCATCTCAAATTACTAATACTTTCCAAATTTCATTTTATGGATCCAAATGCGCTTACAGAAGCTGAAAAGCAATAGCTACGCACTAAAAACCATCTAGAAACACAAATATAGGAAATGGGAAAAGTCTAGAATCTAGAATCTAGAATATCAAGAAGGAACAGCAATTTTCCCACACTTTAAGTTTAAAACCACAAAATTTCTGAAGACATTTAAAGACTTCATTGCCAGTATGACCCTAACAAAATGAAGATGCTAATGAAGCATACAAAATATGAACAGTAATTAATAATGTTCCACTATATGGCATTTATTTAAAATTAAAAGTAATCTTCACTCCTTGTCAATTTGTATCACACCTTCCCCACCTCACTTTTACAAGCCTAAATCAAATAACTGTTTCAACAGCGAGTTGAGGCCCATAGTGATGTTTAACCAAACTTATGCATTCCTATTTCCTACATTTTTTCACATCCTACATAGTGTGGTTCTTGAACATAGGCACCCAATAACTGCTAACAAATGACTTGTGAAGCTTTTGTCAATTATTACTGTCTCACAATCTCAAGCAATTCTCCGTATGATTTTGCAAAATCCTATGATTAAAGCACCAACCATGCATGCAAATGTAACGTTCATATGATTCCAAAACATAAACAAGGTTCACTGGACTAGTTGCACGATGACAACCATACTAATCCTCAAAAGGTGAGAACACACCTACAACCAAAAACCCAATACTCCTACAATCAAGGCAAAGCATTCACTTCCTAATGTGTAATACACTATTATAATACCACGATATATCACAATCCTATAAGGTGGCCAAACTGTAGTAAGTGCATCAACTTCATATGAAACACTGATTTTGCTAACAAAAACCACACACCTAATGTATGAACACAACTTTTCACCCTTAACCATTTCATCAAGAATTAAGCCACCCACATTGCTTAATCCTTAAATTTCAATTCCCTTTCTCTGCCTGAAAGTTGCGCGCATGTTGAGTTCTAGTATCATAATGCTTCTGACAAAAACACATTGTCAGCACGCAACATATTTCCAAATTGCGGGCAAAAGCTACAATTCCACAAGTAAATAAACCCTAGAATCCAAGATGTTAACTAATAAACCCTACAAATCAAGTTGCAAAATCTTGAACTTTAAAGGTCCGCACGAAGCCCCAAATAAACCAGCCGCCATATATCTCAGAAAAAACAACGCCGAAACCCTAACCGCGCACCGCACCACCGATGCGCGGACCCAGGCGGCGTTACCCAAAAAACCTAAGCTCGCCCCGTCGCGCGCCGTACCTGGTTGAGGATGAAGCTCTTGCCCTGGCGCGCGCGGCCACAGACGGAGACGACCCCGACGGGGCCCTTGACGAGCTGCAGCGCCGCCACCGCCTCAGGGTCCATCACGAACTTGCCCTTCTCGTCGCAGTACGCCAGGCGCAGCGGGCGCGCGGGACCCGCGGCCGCGCCGCCGTCCCCGCTCATGGCGGGGGCCGCGTCGCCGGCGCTGGGGCTGGGGCTCCCCCCGCGGAGGCCCAGCATCTGCAGCATCGCGAGGTCGCCGCCGACGGCAAGGGTTCCGTGAGCCTGTGCTTTCTGCTTTCAAAAATGGGGAGAGGGAAAAGGGAAATCAGCCAATCGGGGGGGATCGCAAATGCCCTCTCCCTTGAAGGGTTAGCAAAAGCGCCGTAGCGACGCGGTTGCTTGGCGGCGGATGGAGTCGGTCGGTTCCCGCCGCTGCGCTGGAACGACGCGGGCCACGCGGCTGCGTTAGTGGGCTTCACGCCCTGCGTCCCTGTGCTGAGCTGGACCGTTGGGCCTTGGTCGGTGCAGAAAGCCATCCCATTTCTTTTTCTTTCTCCTTGTGCATTCAGCAGGTCGGTGCTGAGCTGTGAGCTGGACTTGTTTTTCTATTCCATCTCTTGTCTTTAACAATGAACCAAGATTTGGTTCTTGCCGCGAGAATTAAATGTTTGTTTGTAAGTCAAGTTTTTCTTATAAGGATTGCAAGCCAATTTTAGAGGCGTTAATGAATGATTGTACTGTCCTTTGTCGTCATGACTCATCACCCTGAGCAACGTATCAAAATATATATTGGCTAGGAAAAGATACTTTTCGTCTTCCTAAAACTATTCATAGTCCTTTTTTTTTGCTAATTAGTCATAGTCCAAGTTTATTCCTTAAACTACAAAAGTGGATATGATCTCCCTAGATAGGTGGGTTTCAATGTACTTCTTCCGTCTCAAATTATAAGTCGCTTTTATTTTTTTGGTACATCCATTTTACTATGCATTTAGATATAATATTATGTCTAGATACATAGCAAAATGGATGAACCAAAAAAATCAAAGCAACTTATAATTTGGAACAGAGGGAGTAGTTTGTTATTTTTAGTTTTAAAAATTCTGACAAACATATAATAGGGTTTTAAACAATCAAAAATATCTCCAAGTTTCTAAATATTTCAAGAAAATGGTAAAAATAGATTGGGATACGTGAAACCTAAATAAAATATTAGAAATCGGGAAGACCATAGAAGAAAGAGATTTTCGTTTTGGGCCATACAGGTAAGTAAAAAAAAAAGGCCATAGAAGGAAGACACATTTTTTTGAAGGCCATACAGGTAAATATCTCTTAAGGTTAAGGGAAGAAACGTGGACGCAAAAATGATAAACGGTCAATCCGATCAAGATGGGCCTTGAAAAGGGTGCCAGAACTACTAGTCGTATTTTCTTCGTGGGCCTATCTAGACTGCACAATTTGATCCATGGGCCGCTTTAGCCTTCTATCACGAAGTCTTGGGCGGCCTCTGCTGTCTGTCTCTCAGGAACCACCAGAAAGGAGTACTGTTCTGCTCCACAAGCACCCAGCGCTGCACATATCATCAGATCATACTAGTACTGAGTACGTAGCAAGAAATGCTTGCGTCTAAAAATAGGTATTCCAGGCGTAGCAGTACTCATCCTGTTCGCTTAATTCATTTACGTGACTTATAAGTCGACTGATATTGTTGTATCGTTAGCTGATACGGTCGAGCGAACAGGTGACTGCCGGCAGCATTTCTGCAGACAGCGCACCTGTTGACGAGCACGTCCATTATTGGTTCGCCTTATCTGCAGAGCAAACCTGTCTGAATCACAGGCACGTCCCATCCATACCAGATTAGCAAAAGCTGGTCTCTGATGGCTCACGTGGCCGTGCCAGAATTGCACTGCTGTTCCCTCTTTTGTGCAACGCCGTTCGCGACAGAATCTTACAGGCGCCCGCTTGGTCGGACGGATGTCGATCACGCCCGTTCTTCCTAAAAAAACAAAAACAAAAACAAATTGCAGCAGCGGCTGCTGTAGAACTTTCAACTCAACCAGTCTTGCATTTTATTTTTATCTGCTGTCAAAGATTCTGAAGATTAATTGACGATGCTACTTCTTCAGCCACTAGTACTGAAAAAAGCGTGGAAACACTGTATCTGTCTGAACCCAACAGTTTCAGCACACATTGTGTGTAGTAATGTGTTCAGCAGGCAAGCACTGAAGCAAGTGCAGCAGCAAGAAACACTGTAGCAAGTGGGTTTGCAGTACTGATGGGAGACAAATGGCGACAGCGCCGAGTTGGATTGGAAGAGGATACTAGAGTAGGAGTATATTTGATTACTAGTTGATCCTTATAAGCCGGGAAAGTGAAGTGTGTAGTAGGCCAATATTGGAAAGGAGGTGAAAGCAAGATGCTACCGAACAAAAGGTTCAGCCCTTGTTTAGTTGGAGAAATTTGGATTTTGGGGCTACTGTAGCACGTTCGTTTTTATTTGGCAAATAGTATTCAAACATGGACTAATTAGGCTCAAAATGTTCGCTGCCATGAATTTTCCACTGCAATTAGTTTTTCTTTTAAATCTACATTTAATGCCCATGATGCAAACATTATGTGGAGGCAAGTTTGGGGTGGAACTAAACAAGGGCTCAGCTGAAAAGGAAAAAAGGAATGCTCAGCTGACACTAATTCCCATGATGTTATTAGGAGTTACACAAGATAGAGGGCTAGGTTCCCTATCTGATTGCCTAGAGCACTTACCTCGCTTCACACTCCTCATGCCCTCCTGCTGATAAGTGATAACGAGTAGAGTAGTAAAAAAAAAGTTTCACCTAGCTTAGTTAGATTGCTACGTTTCGTTCGTGGGAGCAAAGCTAGATTGCTATCTGTGCGGTTCTGTAGACCCCTCAACCCTGGTGCTATGCATTTGCATGTTATTATGCTTTATTGATTCATGGTTAATGTAGTACTTGCATTGAGCTGTTCCTGAATTCATTCCGGTAAAAGGAAAATTGTTCCTGAATTCGATTCTCTTTTTCAGTTGGCCTTTAGATTATTCAACCATTATTTTTAACAAACATTTCTTTAGGGATTGTGCCGGTGAAAAACTCTCTCTGCCACCTCGAAAGTTCGGGTGTTTTAGAGAAATTCCACAACCAAATTAAAGATGTAAGAATATAATGAAATATTTTTTCCCACGGTTGATTTTTAGTTACATCAAGTTTATCTAAAAATTATACTAAAACAATCACTGTAACTCTAGTACACGTCTGAGTATAAATCCAATACAAGTTGACGGTAAATAAAGTTGAGGCATGGGAAAGCAGATTTTCACATGATTCTTTGTTTTATTCACTTCCATGTATACGTATTTAGGAAGAAGAAAAGAAAGAAAATAAAAGAAATCAAACGTTGGAGAGAAGATTTCCAACAGCAATTTTTTTTTTTTATAAACAACAGCAAAACTGTTTCTTTAACACGTAAATACTCCCAGTACAAGACACCCACAAGGTGTTCCATACAAGCATGCTGCCGTCTTGCATTGGCCGTCTGCCATCAAAACACTCCATCCGAAAAAAAAATCCACTCAAAACACTTGGAGCCAAGCAAAGCAACACACGGACTGAGAACAGACAGAGCAAGAGACTGCGCTGGATGGATACAAATTCACTGGCTAATTAGCCATCATCAAGCCGTCGAGGACAAGACGACCCACGCTGCAATTGCAACCATTTCCCCCCCACCGTCGGCAGGCACCCGATCGACGCGTCTTAAATGGCGAAGATCGAGAGAGCACAGCTCAATCCGAGAGCGGTCGCGCAGTGTGGTGGTCAGTGGTCACCCCGCGCGCTCCGCCCGCCCTGCGCCCCTGCCAGAGTGCCAGGGACCTCACCTGCAGGCGGCTGGCCGCCGTCCGTCGCAGGCGGGCGGCTGGCTGACGCTCGCTCGAACCAAGTCGCCAATAAACGCCGAAAACGCGGCCCGCCCCCGGCCCCCCGGCTTAAACGGGCAAGCTGCTGCCACCCCTTTCGAGCGCGCGGTCCACGGGTCCAGCTGCGTCTCGGTCGATGGTGCGTCTGCATGGGCTAGGAGCCTAGGACTCAGGTCCGTCCGTAGCGGTAGCATGGTCCTCCTGCTGCGTTTGGGTCTTCTACCAGAGATGCATGGTGCATGCCAGACTCCCAGAACGAACCAACGTGGGACGGTAGGAGGATTAGGCGCGTGTTCAGTTGCAGTATTAAATAAATAAAAAAAATAACTAATTATACAGTTTAATTGTAAATTATAAGACGAATCTTTTGAACCTAATTAGACTATGATTAAACAATAATTGTCAAATATAAATAAAAGTGATACAGTATCGAATACTAATTTCTAACCACGAACTAAACAAGACCCAGAGATGCATGGTGCATGCCAGACTCCCAGAACGAACCAACGTGGGACGGTAGGAGGATTAGATCTCTGTGATAGAGGCAGTAGAATACTACTAGTACACGACATTGGTGAACGGGTGTAGTAGAAGTAGGAGTAGACCTGTAGCGGTACATTTTGGTCGCTACGCCTACGGATGTTAGTCAGTGCAGTCGTTGCGAGTTTCTTCCATGCATGTCCCGGCAAATCCGTGTGCTCTGGGTTTTGACTTTTGTGAGCGTCCTCAACGGTACGAGTTAACAGCTATACGAGTCGTGTCATTGTCACTTCATTATTTAAACTTTACATATAAATTTTATGAGCAGAGACTACCTCGTTTTGAGTGAGATAGATGTTGAGATAAGATATATTTTTTTTTTTTATCTTCTCCCTCCTCCACATAAGATATTAACATGGATTGTTATAAGCTAGCTGAAGTGGCACTGTTGGGACGCCCTGAACGTTGCCAATAATCTGGATTAGTTAGGGTCTGTCTGGTCGGAATAAGCATAGCACAGGATATACGTGTCCCAGTCCTTGCACCGAGTAGGCAGACATATTAGAGAAGCAGATCAATATATACGCCATGTTCGCTTAGCTTTCATAAGTCGTACTTTTTTAACTAATAAATAGTATTTTTCTCTAACAACAAATCAGCCAACCGTGTTTTCAGCTACGGCTTATTAGCCAAGCAAACAGACCAATAATGCTTCATCATCACAGACATCACTAGGGTGGTCACCACCTCACCGGCTTGTTTTGGTGCTGCGTCCCTGGTTCCTTTTGGCTTTCATTATAAGCTGGGCAGAGCGGAGCCAGAGTGGGGATAC